TCATCTCATCTCATCTCATCTCAGCTCATCTCATCTCAGCTCAGCTCATCTCATCTCATCTCATCTCATCTCATCTCAGCTCATCTCATCTATCTCTTCTCTCCTCTTCTCTCCTCTTCCTCTCCTCTTCTCTTCTCGTCTCTTCCGACCTCTCTTGTCATCCTTGAATCTTTTTCCGCCATCGCGGCCCCTTTGACTTCTTTCCACCATCAACTACCCTACCTCCCTGGAACTTGCCCGCCTCCTTGACTACCCTCTAAGCTTTAACACCAACATTCAAGTACCCCTACTTAAGTATTATTTCTCTGGAGGAGATGAGGGGTACTGACACCTAAAGACTGTCATTGTACCCCTACTGGTGCAACTATTCTTTTGCCCTACCCCTCATGAAGTAAGCATTTTTAGCACTGATATGGCCACCTAGGACCTGCATAAGAATTCCTAGGCACCCCTTTGACTCGCTAGAAACTTTTCTTTTTACAAGATGGGGCCTAAAAGACTTTAATAATTTTAAAAAACTTGTAATGCACATGTTCGACGATGCCACAACAAATACGATATAATCATATAATTATGTAAAATTATAATATTGTTAAGAGGTACAATCTTGACAATTCACTCCACGGATGACGACTAAAATCTTTCTAAATTTATTAAAACATTATAGAATCAATAAAATTACTTTTACTGGTTGTAAGAAGGCAGAATGCGAATGGGGTTCGTAAAGCCCGCAAAAAGGCTATACAGGATTCGCCAGATTGTACCTGCAGGATTCCCGGTACTGATTTTGTACCAAAGGGTCACAGTTTTACAAATGAATTAGTGGAGAAAGTGTACTGTGCCTTCTTTGTATCTGTTTCACAGGTACAGATTATCTGGGTATAAAAGTAACTAGTAGCATCCTGCCTTACAAGCAGTGTCACAAAACTTGATATGGTACTAATTTATATTTTCTTATTTGGAGTTATTGTATGAGCTGCAGGATGCATCCAAACCTCTGGTACAAAATACAATTCCACTACTGTACACTTTTATTTGTCTCAGGCTTCAGCTTGTACGGGTCATTTCTCCTTCAACCCAGCTGCAGCAAGTTGTCCTCGGAGGTACTGAACCAGCTCCTCCCTCTCCTCCCTCTCTGCGACAGCCAGGCATGTCTTGCCCTCCTTGTCGACGGCACGGATGACATCTACCCCTCCTGCTTGGACCACCAGTTTCATCCCCTCTAAACTCCCCTTCTCCGCTGCGAAATGTGCGCAAGTCTTCCCCTCCTTGTCCGCTGCCCTCGCCGCTTCCTCTCCTCCTGCCTCCAGTACCTCCCCTAGTGCCTCCGCCTCCCCCCGCCACGCCGCCCAGTGAGCGCAAGTACACCCCCAGTTGTCCGCCGCTACCGCCAGCTCTCTCCCTCCCGCAGCAAGCGCCAGCCGCAGCATCCCCGTCGCCCCCCTCTCTGCTGCAAGATGGGCGCAGGTCTTTCCTTCCTCGTCTGCCGTCATCACCGCCTCCCTCCCCCCTGTCTCGATCAGCAGCTTCATCGACTCCTCGTCCCGCCGCTCCGCAGCAAAGTGCGCGCAAGTCTTGCCCTCCTTGTCTGTCGCCGTCACGACCTCCTTCCCTCCTACCTCGATCAGCCTCCTCAGCGTCTCTACGCTCCCCTTCTGCGTCGCCCAGTGCGCGCAGGTCTTCCCCTTGTGGTCGGCCGCTGTCGCCAGCGCCTTCCCGCCTGCAGCCAGCAGCAGGTCGAAGGTGCCGAACTCTCCCCGGTCGCTGGCCCAGTGGGCGCAGGTCTTGCCGTCGCAGTCAGGGGCGAGGAGGACCTGAGGGCCGGCGAGGTCGACGATCTTCGAGAGGATCTGGGTGTTGCCATGCCAGGCAGCCCAGTGGGCGCAGGTTTTGACCCTCTTTGTCAGCCCTTCTC